TACTAGCATACCAGAGGAGACGATCCCTGTTTGCTCCCTTTTTGCTGATGACTTATCTATCATGATAGAAACATCCCATGAGAATCTGAAGCTTTAAGGAATATGATGGAACGTTTTTGTAGACTTTCTGATATGAGGATTAACTGGGGTAACAAAACACTGGGATGGTGGATCCATCATCAAGGTGTTAGACCCCCAGAAGTTCCTAAAATCTCCTGGTTATCTAAAGAGACACCGGTAAGGGTATTCGGAATTAATCTTTCAGCAGAAGGAAAGCCTGCAACAAACAATGAATGGATTTTGCAAAATGCTTGTTCAAAATTAAATACATGGAAGAATAAGCATACATCTATTTTTGAAAGATCTCTGGCAATTAATAATGTAGTTCTAGCATCGATATGGTATAAGTCAGCTATTTGGGCATTAGAAAAAGCAACAATCAAAGTTTTTCAATAACAATTAAGAGCCTTCCTGTGGAGGGGCAACCATGAGACAAAAAATGTGATCAGTAGAGTGGCATGGTCATCTATCATACAACCCAAATCGAGTGGAGGACTTTGTATCATTGATCCCACCCTCCAGGCTATGACCCTGTCTATTCAATGGATTAAAAGATTGTTATTTAATCCTCAGACCCCATGGAATGGGTTAGCTTTGGAACAGATAAAGAGATTAGCTCCTCCTACAGTTGATGAAGTTGAGCCGTTGACATGGTTGGAAAACAGAGCCTGGACTATACCCCGAGCTAGAAGGACAATGACAGAGGGTTCCCACCTATCCAATAAGGAAGCTGCTAGAGCAGATCTTACTAAAGATCCTTTCTGACCCAATCTTATTAAAACATGGAGGAAGCTCCCGCTTACTGACAAGGTGCCCCCAAAAAGGTGGGAGAAGGTCAGTAGGCAACCGCTTTTCAATAACATTTGGATCAGGGATTCACAAGGGTGCACTCTTCATTGCAAAGACTCACCTTGGAAAGGTTGGGTCACGAAAGGTGTAATCAGAGTAAGGGACATATGGGACATAGTTACCAATGACTGGATCTCTCACAATAAACTTCAGGAGAAATTGAGATATTGTTATCATGCGGAGGCCGCTCTTGATAAGATTTTAGATTTAATCCCAATAAGTTGGACCTTAATCCTTAAAAAGGGTCCTAGGTTCAGAACCAATGACTGGGTAATTATAAAGGAAGATCATCAAGTGATTGGTAATATCTTTCATATGGAGAGGAATGGTGACATTCTAATCACCCTTTTTGATCTCAGAATCAATAATGAGTTAACCATGAGTGACCCAATTGGAGTCAGTACAGTGACATCTGAACAACTCTTTAGAATCAGGGTCTTACAGGACAACAACTCTTGGTTTGCCTTCCGCCCAGGCACACCCATTCAATTCCTCCCGCTAGACCCACAGGAATGAAAATGGGGATCGAGTGCAAAGGTAAGAGGAACTTCACAAGAACATTACACACTCTCACAGTTAAATCAACATATAGAATGTTAAGACCAAGAATTAATCTCAAAGACAGAGTCACACAAAGATGGATAGATCACCTGAACCTAGGCAAGAACGAATTTAGAAACATCAAATGGTTCCAAAACAAGAAGATTAAGCCTGCAAAAATAGCCTCGCTTCAATGGCAGATTGAACATAGATGCCTCCCAACCAATGATTGGATAATAGACAGAACCTCTTTGGATAGCCAAGGTTTAGCCAAGCCTTGGTGTAAATTTTGTATATCAGCCTTCCCAAGTAGATCCATAGCAGAAACTATTGAGCATATTTTCCTACAATGTCCTAGCTCAGTATGGCTATGAAGATGGTGGGACAGAATATAGACTCGGTTGGAGGTGACTGATAAATGGCCATGGGGATGGAAACCTTTGCTGTTGGAAGAATGGACTGTCATACCTTACGATGAATTCACACAAAATTTGTTTATCTTAAGTAGAAGAGCAATTATTTGGGCCATTTGGAGAAGAAGATGTACTCATGAATGGGAGAGAGTCAGACTGGATGGGCATAAATTCACCGAGAGTATTAAGGAACAGATACAAACTGATATCAAAATTCAGTGGGAATTGACCAAAGAGAAGATTCAGTTTCTTTCACAGAAAAAAAAAATCCTTGAATATATCAAAAATTTTAATAAAGGCTGGCTTGGGGAGGAACAGGGAGGAAAAATGGGTAAGGTGGCTTAGGAAGGCGCCCAATCAAGTGATGATGTCGCTCTCAACAGGAACTATAGGCTATTTTTCAATGATTGGACTGCAGTGGATCCCATAATTCCTCTGAGAACCGCTGCCGATTTCCCTGACCCCTTTCCTGCTAATCAGCAGACAATGGTTCCTATCTCATGGTATGGTTCTGCATAGAGACAAAGTGTGTTCATTATGGTCCTCATGATACGGTACTGCATAGAGACAAAGTGTGTTCATTAT